TCCCTCCCTCCCTCCCTCCCTCCCTCCTTCCCTTCCTTCCTTCCTTTCTCTCTCTCTCTTCTTTCTTTTTTCTTTCTTTTTCTTTCCTTCCTTCCTTCCTTCCTTCCTTCCTTCCTTCCTCAGTTTCAGAGGTAGAATTTAGTGATTCATCAGTTGCATAAAACACCCAGTGCTCATTACATCAGGTGCCTTCCTTAATGCGCATCATTCACTGATCCCTTCCCCTCACCCACATCCCCTCCAGCAACCCTCCGTTTGCTTCCTAGAGTTCAGTGCCTCTTATGATTTGCCTCCCTCTCAATTTTCATCTTATTTTATTTTTCCTTCCCTTCCCCTATGTTCATTTGTTTTGTTTCTTAAATTCCGCATAGGAGTGAAATCGTATGGTATTTGTCTTTCTCTGACTGACTTATTTTGCTTAGCATAATACTATCTAGTTCCATTTATGTTGTTGCAACTGGCAAGATTTCATTCTTTTTGATGGCTGAGTAATATTCCATTGTATATGTACACCACGTCTTCTTTATCCAATGATTTGTTGTTGGACATCTGGGCTCTTTCCGTAGTTTGGCTGTTGTGGACATTGCTCCTATAAACATTGGGGTGCATGTGCCCCTTCTGATTACTATGTTTGTATCCTTTGGGTAAATACCTAGTAGTGCAATTGCTGGGTCATAGGGTAGCTCTAGAGTGGCTGCACCAGTTTGCATTCCCACCAACAGCGTAAGAGGGTTCCCCCCCCCCTTTTAAAGATTTTATTTATTTGAGGGAGAGTGAGTCAGAGAGAGAGAGCATGAGGGGGGGAGGGCCAAGGTGAGAAGCAGACTCCCCACTGAGCGGGGAGCCCGATGCGGGGCTTGATCCCAGGACTCCGGGATCATGACCTGAGCCAAAGGCAGACACTTAACCAACTGAGCCACCCAGGCGCCCCAGGGTTCCCCTTTCTAACCATGGTACATTTTCATGTTGAGCCCAGATGTAGCCTCAGAATTCCTGTTAGTAATGTTCCAGGAAGTCACTATCATTTAGTCCAATGTGACCTGATATAAAACTTGTTTGTTAATCCCTGGTGTAAGGATTTAGATCACAAGATAAAAATTATGTAGAAAACAATACATGAACTAGAAATAGCTTTGAATTGGTTGTCATTCACACTGCTGGAGTTTATCAGTAATAGTAAGGACTAAGGAGAACCCCTAATAGAGCTGGCATAGGGGTACAGTGCTTATTCTTCTCTTGAAATATTGAATTGACAATTAATCTCTATTCTTTTTTTTGAATCTCTACCCTTTTGTGCCAAGATTCTACACTGTTTGCTGAACTTGGCTATTTCACAGACACTGATGATCTGCAATTGGATGCAGCAAAGGAAACTTACGTAAGTATTTACTGGAGGAGAATTACTGAATAATGTGATATTTAATCTTCTACTTATTGCAAGATGGTTTCAGGATAACAGGTTTAGGCTAGTGATTTCGGTTTAAATAATTTTTAGTATTAAGTGTGAAAGTTAGCAGCCATTTTTTACTCAGTAAATTTAGGATTGTAGAAACTGCATTGGTCTTGGTGGGAGAAGACTTGTATTCTAAGTTTACCTTTGACCAAGAGTTGGGTGGCTTTGGAAAAGTCACTTAATTGCCTACTTTTTGGCTTTTATAGATACTTTGCTGCATAAGGGAAGTGATGATGTTAAAGGGTATATGTGAGTCATGGATCCAGTCAAGCAGAACTTAACTAACTTCCTTTTTAAAAGTTACGTATCCTTAGTATAGAAAACTCTGAAACTTAGACATGTCCTTACTTTTTGCCTGTGAATGGTTAGAAGTCTGTGTATAAGCTATTATTATAGCACTTTGAGGCCTCAAAAATATCTTTTTCTTTTTTGTTTTAGTACATAGTACATTGGCCTAGAGAACTCTTTTGTCTTACTCTTTAATGGATGAGGTGCTGTTTCACTTGGGGAGTAATTCAAGCGAACAGTGGTTTTATATGTACATCAATCAGATTGGATATTTGTTACTTATTTTTTAAGCCTTTATTAACCTGCGTACAAAAATATGTAATGCTTGCTTAGTGAGTTTCTCAGACATTTCTCAAAGAAGAATTTGGTAGTTGTTTTACTATCCATCAATAGAAGAGAGTAAGAATACATGATATACTTTTTTATTTTATTTTAATTTTTTTTAAAAGATTTTATTTATTTATTTGACAGACAGAGACAGCGAGAGCAGGAACACAAGCAGGGGGAGGGGGAGAGGGAGAAGCAGGCTCCCCACTGAGCAGGGAGCCCGATGTGGGGCTCGATCCCAGGACTCTGCGATCATGACCTGAGCCGAAGGCAGACACTTAACGACTGAGCCACCCAGGCACCTCATGATATGCTTTTTTAATCAGTACATGAAATTTTAATAGTTTTTGTTTACCTTGTGAGATGTTTGAGAATGCGATCTATTGATTAAATTGGCTTTTTTTAAAGATTTTATTTATTTGAGAGAGAGAGAGAGAGCAAGAGAGAGCATGAGCGGGGAGGAGAGGGAGAAGCAGGCTCCCTGCTGAGCAGGGAGCCCAGTGTGGGGCTTGATCCTAGGACCCCGGGATCATGACCAGAGCCGAAGGCAGTCGCTTAACTGACTGAGCCACCCAGGTGCCCCAGATTAGCTTTAAATATTGGGAGGTTGCCTAAGCAACTGACATTCATTTACAACCTCTATGGCTTAAACTACCAAGTTACCATACTGTAGTTAGTTTGAAAGGTTCAGGGAAATATGATCCTCATTTTATAACTAACATTCTTATCTTACACAAGGCATTCAGTCTTTCAGTTCCTTAGTTTTTCTAGTATAAAGTTAAGGGATTGGACTAGATGGTGTCTGAGGGCCCTTGCTAGCTTTAAAATTGTGTCATTCTCTTCCACACGTTAGTAGTTTCCCATGAGAAGTCGTAGAAGAGCCAGAATATAGAAGCACAGATATGTTCACTTTACATAAAACAGGCCTGTTAAGTTCCATACAGATAAAATTCTTATGCTGTAAAAGGTCTTTGGCCGTTTTGGCTGAATACTGAGTAAGAAGCATCCTGGAGTAGGTCATGTCCACTGTTGTGCATGTTAAAAAGTATTGCTAGCACTCAAGCAGGCTTCATTGTTTAGTTTACTTAGGCTAGGAAAGTTGAAGGATATTTTTGGTTGCTGAAGGTACAAGACTGCTTAATTTCTTGATGTGTAGATTCAAGTAAAGAAAAAAGCAAAGGGGGTTGACTTAAAAAGGGGTTCTTTCATGGTTTCAGTAGTATTTTTCTTTTCTCACGTGAATGTCCACACATTCTCTTTCTCTAACTTGCACCAATGTTTCCTTAGTTAAGGGCAGTGGGATCAAACTCTTTCCTTCTTTCCTTTTGTTCTCAATAAAAATAAACCACAAAAGAGCCATTTTGAAATAATACTTTAGAAATTATTACCAAATGGTTGTTAATAATTAAGAGACCAATCTTTACTTTTGGCCTGAGGCTTATTTTCTCTACTGTTGCTGTTTTATTATCTGTCATATTAAGTTACTACTGACTGCCTTTGTGGTACTATGTGTATATTGTATACATCTGTTCTTGTCTCCATAACCCTGGACACTTAAGATAATAGGACTATCTTGATCTCAAACTCATGTGTGGCTGTACTTTGTTTATGTATATAGTATAAGATGACTATTCAGATGACCCAGAATATGCTTATATTTAAGTAAAAAAAATTGTCATCTAAATGAAGAAACTAAGAGTTCCTCTAAGAAGTGTGTTGACTTATGTTTGAGAAACTTAGTTTTATCTTCTAGTTTTAAAAAAAATTAGAAATTTTATTTTAGAAATTTGAAAATTTGTACAGTACAGTATAGTAGAAAAAGAAGAAAATTACCCATCCTTCTATGGATCTCCTCTTTCTTAGATAACCATTTTAATATTTGGTATAATAGTTTCAATTCTTGCATATCTTTTGGCTAAAATCTATATTCTTTCCATTGCTATATAGAGATGATGTTGTAAGTGGGCATTTGCTTTGACTTGTTTTCATTAATGGCAACGGGAAAATTTACTTCGCTGGATCTCCCTTATGACAAAAGACATGTTTTGTGACTTGTAAAGGTGGATTCCCATAGAAAAGAATGACACTAACTGAATCTTTTACATGTTGAATCCATTACCTCCCTAATTTTCCTGCTGTGTTTGAGATAACTGAATTGGTTTATCTTTAGGCCATGCAAGATGTATTCTCAAGATGAACCGATTGACTTAGAAAATTATTTTAACTAAGTTGGGTAATAGCAATTATATTATTTATGGCAAATTATGTCTGATAGTTTGATTTCTAGATCTGTATATTTTATTCTCCTAATATCCTTTTGCTGATTTGAAACTTACAGGAAAACAATTTTGATAGTCTTGATTTTGACTTGGATTTGATGCCTTGGGAAACAGGCATTTGGGACATCAATAACCAGCTCTGTACAGGTAATGATGTATTTCATTGGTAAAAATTTTAAACAGATCCATTTTATTTTGTAGTTTGGTAATCATCAAAATTAGGTGGGGTTATTGGGCTACTTTGATGGGTTAAAAAATTCCAGGGATAGATATTCTACTTTTGATGTGGTAGTGCACACATAAGTTTCTTGCCTAGGTGGATATAAAGAATTTTATAGTTATGTTTTAGTCACATAATGATAAAGAATTCATAACAGAAATCCTGATTTTGAGTTCTGTATATCTTTATAAGAGGTTAACCTGAGAACCAGGCAGAACTTAGGGAATCAAAGAAAGCGTGGGGTTATCTGAACTTAGGAAGTTGGTGTAGGGGTCCCTTGCATTTGATATAGATATTTCTGTGGAGGGGGCACCACCTGGCTGATGCTAATCTTTAAGGGGCCCTGATGAAGTAGGTTTTGGATGTGCTGAGAGAAGTTGGGCCCTGGAGCCAACTGTCACTTGTGGGATGAAGCTGATGGGAGGAAGAAACCCCTTTGTCCCTGTCTTCACTTCAGCATCCTTCCAGTATCCCCCACTGATAGGACCTAAAAGGGAGCCAGCTGGGACATGTCTTAATAATGTGCATCACAGACTATATATAGGAGGTAGACTTAAGAACTGAGAGACAGTGGGTAAGTCACCAGCATATCCTCCCACCCAAATTGCAGTCCTCCCCACCCCTGCATGTCCCAGTCCCCCATTTTATGTATTTATGTGTCTTGCTTAATGCCTGTCTTCCCTCATAGAATATGGGCTACCCAAGGCCAGTGTTCTGGTTACTATTGTCATGTAACAGACTACTCTAAAACTCAGTGGCTTAAAACAACAACCATTTTATTATGCTCCCAGAATCTGTGAGTCAGGAATTTGGGCAAGGTACACCAAAGAATGGCTTATCCCTGTTTTGTGATGCCCAGACCTCAACTGGGAAGATGGTAAGGCTGGAGGAGCTTGAAAGTTGGGGGATAGCATTACCTTAAGATTTCTTCACTCACCTATCTCTTGCCTGGCCTGAGTGGCTTGATGGCTAGGACTGTCGGCTAGAGCACCAACACATGGCCTTTCTATGTGGCTTGGCTTCCTTTCAGCTTGGTGGTCTCATGGTAGTCAGACTTCAGAGGCTCAGGTGTGAGTGTTCCAGCGCACAGAGTGGAGACTACATTACCTAATGTAACCCAGCCTTGGAATTCATGTAGTATTACTTCCATACTGTGTTGATTGAAGGAGTCTTAAGCCCACCTTGATTCAAAGAGAGGGGAAATAGATGCTACTTCTTGATGGGGAAGGGTAAGATCACATTATAGATTATGAGGGATGGTGGATATTTTGCAGCTAATTTTGGAAAACGTTGCCTGGGCTGTAGTTGCTCAATAAATTTTTATAAATGAAGTTTAGCAAAAGATATGAACATTTTTGTGAGTTTTAATGGTATTGTAAAAAATGTTTTCCAAAATAATTATTTCTGATTTCTTAATGTTTTTAAAAGTTATTTTTGGAGGGATCTATAATGTTTTGCATATGGTATAATATTACAAAAGTACAAAAAGTCTATAGGGTAGAAAAATGTCTCCTTCAGCTGTTGTTCCTCAGCCAACACATTCTCCCCAGAGACAACCACAGTTACCAATTTGTTATGTTTATCCTACGTTAGGTTTAGCGCAGGTAGGAGTAGATATATACATATACACATGTATAATTTACTGCACAAATGGTAGCATACTAGATATACTGTTTTCTGCATCTTGAATTTTCATTTGATGATGCATTTTGGTGACCTTAGCTTCAATATGATTGAATTTTAAGAGTGGATTTTACCCTCTTTCTTATTTTATTTTGAGATTATAGTGTCCAGTGGGAAAAATTTTTACTCCATGTTTTTCAGTTAAAGATGTTAAGGCAGAACCTCAGCCACTTTCTCCAGCCTCCTCAAGTTGTTCAGTCTCCTCTCCTCAGTCAATGGACTCTTACTCTTCAACTCAGCATGTTCCTGTAAGTAGCCGGTCTTCTACCATGATTTTGGTCATAATGCTATCTGGGAAATATGCATATGGAGGATGCACTTATCATTTATGAAATGCTAATGTGAGCCCTACGATCTCATTTAATCCCGAGGAACCTGAGTTTCCAGGAAGGGCCTTGGGAGAGCTAGCAAGTTCTTCGTCTCTGGTTTTGCCCTCCTTCCCCAGTGTTCCTGCCTTCATGATTTCATTGTTTCAGTGGTTTCTTCGCACTTTACCAGTAACCAGTATTTTTTGTTTATTGGCTTACTGTCTTTTCTCCCTGCTGTTCTCTCTCCTGCCTGTCAGAATAGACATTCTTTTTTTTTTTTTAATTTTTTATTATTAGAAAATACATTCTTTGAGGACAGGGAAGACTCTAAGATGGTTTGATTTGTAACTCCTTGGCCATAGAACCTAGAATGGATTCCTTAATTCACGAAGGCTAAGTACTACCTTTGAATGGGCTAAGGTTTTTATAAAAATCTGGTAACTTCTTAAAAATGCTTCTATTCTCCATCCAGACAAAAGCTCTGAGCGTGGGAAAAGGAAATACTAAAGTATTGAGGTACTTTTTTGAATGGGGGAGGGGAAAATTTAAGGAGAAAAATTCAAATTAATATTTCAGTACATTATATCTGCTGTAAATTGAGATATCTTCATTCTGGCCGACTCAGCATCCAGTCAGCTCTGAAATCCGGACAGTTCAATTCAGTTAATGTCTCTACGATTCATCTTCTTTGCCCCTGCCAGGCCATCATCATCTCTCTGGGATTAAGTCAATAGGATTTTAACTGGCCTCTCTGCCTCCTGACTCCTCCAACTTTTCTTAGCAGAGGAATCTTCAAAGAGAAATCTTTCAGAATTATAAATTTGATCGTGTCAGTCTTTTGCTTAAACCTTATTCCCAGGATGAAATTCAAGATGAAACTCAAACTCCTGGAGTACTAGGCCCTTCACGACCCGGCTCCTGCTTACCTTCCTGCTCATTCTCCCTTGCTACCTTCACTTTCCCTTTCTAACCCTGTGGGATCCCACCTCAGAGCTCCCACACTCCATACTCACTCAGCAACTGTGCCAGGCTCTGTTCAAAGCCTGGTAGTGAATGAGAGCAGCGAGAGCTCTGCTTTCACACTTGTAGATTTTTGTACATGCTCTTCTGCCTCGAATAGCCCTGTTTTTTTTCTTCCCTTGTAAAATTCCTATTCATCCTGTTTTAGTCCCAGTTCAAAAACAACTTCCTCTCTGAAGTTTTTCTCTGATTGCTACCATTGGAGGTTCTTTGTGGTCCCACAATTTCTCCAAATGATTTAATTAAAACATTTTTTTTAAATCCCCCTTTAAAAAATTAAAAAAAAAAATTGTGTGAGAGAGAGAGAGAGCTGGGGAGGAGCAGAAGGAGATGCAGACTTCCCGCTGAGCAGGGAGCCTGATGTGAGAGAGAGAGAGAGAGAGAGCTGGGGAGGAGCAGAGGGAGATGCAGACTCCCCGCTGAGCAGGGAGCCTGATGTGGGACTCGATCCCAGGACCCTGGGATCACGACCTGAGCTGAAGGCAAGACACTTAACCAACTGAGCCACCCAAAAGTATATAACAAGGTATATTTACAGAAGCCTGATTTCTATCCTTTCCTTCCCATCCATCCTTACACGAAAGGTAGCATACTCTATACCTTGTTCAGCACTTCGCTTATTTAACTTAGTGGTATATCTTGGAGGTAAGTCCAGTTTCAGGATATAGGATCTTTCTCATTCCTTTTTATGGCTGCATGCTGTTCCGTGATATATCCATTGTGTGGATATATCATGCTTTCTTCAGTGATTTGTGTTCTCACTCCTTTCCAGTCTCAAATAATGCTGTAGTGAATAACATGTTACACAAGTCACGTCATATTTTTGCCAGGATGTCTTTGGGATGTAATCCTAGAAGTGAGATTGTGGAGATCAAGGTGAATACATTTGTAATGTTGTGGATTATAGCCAGGTTCTCCTCCGTAGGGTTGTGCAGTTGTGTGGTCTGATCAGCAGTGTGGGAGGGGCTGGTATTCCCATTGTTGCTCCACACGTGCTTTGTTCTCTGTTTTATTCTAAGTGTGGTTGAACATCTTTTCAAATATTTCATATGTATAAGGCCTATTTGTATTTCTTTTTAAATGAACTATCCATTCAAATTTTGGTTCACTTTTCTGTTGGATTATGTTGGTCTTTTTCTCCTCAAATTTTAGGTTGTTTTATTACATATTAGGATTATTAGCCCTCAGTTTGTGAAATAAGTTAAGTATTTTTTTCCCCAATTTGTCATTTGTCTTGATGCTTTATGTCTGGTGTTTATTTTCTCCAGGCATACTTTTTTCCATAGCCAAATTACGGATCTTCTATTGCCTTTTTTTGGTCATTCAGAAAAGGGTTTTCACCACTCAGGTTATAGTATTTTTATTCTTGTTTATATCAACTTTTTGTTTGGAATAATCTCAGACTTAGAGAAATGTTACAAGGACATTTCAAATAACTTTTTTTTCCTGAACCATTGGAGAGTAAGTTGCCAACCTGATGTTTATCACCCCCAAATACTTCACTGTCTACTTTCTACAAGCAAGGATGTGCCCTCTGTAGCCACAATACAATCACTAAAATCAGGAAATAAACGTTGATACATTACCTTCATCTAGTCCTCAACTCCCACTTAGTTTATGCCAGTTGTCTCAGAGTTATCCCTTAGACTAGCAACAGAATCTAGTGTAGAATCCAGCATCGTATTTGGTTGGCTTGTCTTTTTCATTTCCTCCAGGTGAAATGATTTATACTTCCTCAGCTTTCATGACCTTGTCACTGGTGGAGATTAAAGACTAGTTATTATGTAGAATGCTCCCTCAGTTGGGTTTGTCTGATGTTTCCTAGGGATTAGATTCAGGTTTTGTATCCATGGCAGGAATATCACCGAGGTGATGCCGTGTCTGTCTCATTTACTTTTGATTAGTTGGCACACAATTTCAATTTGTCATTACTGATGAGGTTCACTTTGTTCACTTAGTTAAGGTAATGTCTGCCAGGCTTTTCCACTGTGAAGTTGTTCTGTCTTTGCTATAAATAAGTATTTTGTGAGGCAGTACTTTAAAATGATGTAAAAAAAAAAGTCCAGTTTCTCAGCAAAGTTTAAGTTTATCTGTTTATTTCTTTATATCAGTATGGACTTATGGTTTCTTATTTTATTCAACAGGTTGTAATCCATTATTGTAATTATTCTGATTCTTATGTTGCCCTGGATTTGGCCAGTGCAACTCCCTTCACACAGACTTCTGTGTTCTTTTAGTAAGTCTTCATTGGGCTTTTTGATAAATCAGGCTGACCCAGTTTTGATGCCCTTATCACCCTGTTCTGACTCCCAATGCTGGAGTGTTCTCCCCATCCCCATGTGAACACTCTCCCTACCTAACTCAGTTTGGACTCTTACACTCTACCAGCTCGCCTCTCTGCATGGATGCTGGTCTTGCTCTGTCCCATCTAGTGGCTTTAGGGTCAAATTAGTCAGCAAGGAATATTTTTGTTTGCTTGTTTGTTTATTCATTTGTTTTTTAGATAACCACAAGTGAGTGAACTCCTATGGTCTTTGTCTTTCTCAGTCCGACTGATTTCACTTAGCCTAATGCCCTCTATGTCCATTCATGAGCAAGAAATATTTTCTCAGTGACTGTTAATACATATTTTTATAAGGTTTTATTTTTATTTATTTGTAAAGATGTATTTATTAGCACACTCCAGGGGAAGGAGGGTGGGGCAAAGGGAGAGGGGGAGGGAGAGAATCTCAAGCAGACTCCTTTTTGAGCTTGGAGCCCAATGCTCCTGACCTGAGTCAAAATCAAGAGTTGGATGCTCAACTAACTGAGCCACCCAGGTGCCCCATGAGGTTTTATTTTTAATTTAGATCTCTGATCCATTTGAAATTATCCTGGTGTACGATGTGAGACCAAATCTAAATTTATCTTTTCTCAAATGACTATCAAAAGAATGGTTCCAGTACAAAAAGTTCATCTTGTTCCCAGTGACTTCAATTCTGTGTACTTAAAATAGTTTATGTAAATGATGTTATTGTGTTAGAACTCTTTGTATTTCTTTTAAAAATCAACACAATGTTTTTAAGATCAATTCATATTGTTCAGTATTGCATCTAACTGCACAACACTTCACGGATATGTTCACTCTATTTTACCTCCACCACAGTGAGCATTGACAAAAACGACCTCTTATGGGTCCGTGTGAGGATCCCTTCGGGATGTACACCCAGGAGTGGAATTGCTCAGAGGCAGAGTGCAGATACTTCATTTGACAAGTGCTGCCATCTGCTGTCGGGACACCTGTGGTAGTCTGCAGTCCCAGCAAAAGTGCGGGCGGATCCTTGTAGCTTCTCTTCACCGCTAATGCTCAGTGTTGCCTGGCTTTCTAATTTTTGCCAGATGGTATAAATTTTTTATTGTTTGTTTTGTTTCAATTCGTATTTCTTTGATTACTGATTGTTTTCAACATTTCTTTACATGGCCTTTTGGATTTGGGTATTTTTTCTTTTATAAATTGTTTATTCCTGTCTTTTGCCAGTTTTTCTATTGAGTTGTCTTTTTCTTACTCACTTGCAAGAATTCCTTCTATATTTGAGATAGTAACTTCGTTGGGTTTAAACCTTACGTGTATCTTTTTACTTTCTATTATCTATTAGCTTTGCAGTCTTTATTGAGTAGAAATTTCTAATTTTGAATACTCAGATTCATCTTTTTTTCCATTTGCCTTTTTGGTTTATTTTTTGAAGTTTTTTTAAAGAAGTCTTTCTCTGCTTGTAGGCCGCAAAGATATTTTCCAATATTTTTTTCTATTAATTACATGGCTTACCTTTCACATTTAGGTTTCTTAATACCTTTATTATTTTTTAAAGATTTTATTTATTTATTTGAGAGACAGAGTGAGAGAGAAAGTGGGGTGAGGGGCAGACGGAGAAGCAGACTCCCTGCTGAGCAGGGAGCCCGATGTGGGCCTCGATCCCAGAATGCCGGGATCATGACCTGAGCTGAAGGCAGAGGCTTGACTGACTGAGCCACCCTGGGGCCCCAAGATTTCTTAATACCTTTTTAAAAAAAATTTAATAATTTAATTTAATTTTTTTTTGAAGATTTTATTTATTTATTTGACACAGAGAACGAGAGAGAGCGAGAGAGAGAGCACAAGTCGGCAGAGAGGCAGGCAGAGGGAGAGGGAGAAGCAGGCTCCCCTCTGAGCAGAGAGCCCAACATGGGGCTCGATCCCAGGACCCTGGGATCATGACCTGAGCTGAAGGCAGACGCCTAACTGACTGAGCCACCCAGGTGCCCCTTCTTAATACCTTTAGAGTCTACCTTACTATGTGGTGTTAGTTAGGGATCTAGTTTTAATTTTCTCTAAGTGAGCCAGTCTCCCCAGTTGTATCACCTTTATAATCATTCTGTTAAAGAATATCTTATGTCTCTCTGTTTAGTCAAGTTAACCTTTTATGTAACTCAGTTAAGTTTTGAAATTTTCTTTATATAGGTTCTGTACATTCCTTAGAAAATTAACTCCTAGGTATTTTATAACTGTTATAGCTCTTGTGGGTGAGATCTTTTTTATTATATTTTTAAGTGATTATTCATACAATATTTTCATAGTGAAATGTTTTTTAATTGGTTTTTATATGTGTTCCAAGTAGACAGCATGTCATCTTACAAAGGTACTTCTCCTGTCTCTTCTATTTTAATATTTATTCCTTTTATTTCATTTTCTAGTATAATTATGTTTGCTAGAATTATAGAAAAAGCAGTTACGTTTCTTATCCTGACTTAAATGGTGCTGCATTTAGTATTTCACCATTAAGTATGACATTGGCTGTGCAATTATACATAGCTTTTTTTTTTTTTTTTTTAATGTTAAGAAAGTATCCCTCTAATCCTTGTTTTCTAGGACTTTTGTAAGGAGTACTTGCTGAATGTTAAGAAATACCTTTTAAGCATCTAAGGCCATGAAGAGAATCATATCCTCCTGTGTTGTTACCTTGTACTCTCTGGTTTATTCCAGATATCATCTGAAATACTCTGTAAGGTTCACAGAGCCCAGCTTATGGCTACGTGCTGAGTAGGTGTTGAGGATGAATGAATGAAGCAGTTGTCATTGTTACCAGCATGACTGGGAGTGACCATATTCTCTCTAGGTCATTTTGATTTTTTTTTTCTTATCTGATCCAAAAAAAAAAATTTGCCTTTGTGGGGCACCTGGGTGGCTCAGTCAGTTAAGTGTCTGCCTTCAACTCAGGTCATGATCTCAGGGTCCTGGTATTGAGCTCTGCATCCACATCCAGCTTCCTACTCAGTGGGGAGTCTGCTTCTCACTCTCTCTCTCTGCCCCTCCCCTAGCTCATGCTCTCTCAAATAAATAAAATCTTTAATTTTCCTCTCAGAATAGAAGTGCTACTTTTAGCCTATGTTAAGTTTCCTTATGGCAACAAAATGAGCCAGATCCACTGAATGCTAAAAGACTTGGAAAACGTTATCTTTATACATCTCTGTATTAATAAGTCACCCATTAAATAAAAGAAAATAGCCCTGTTCTTTCAGTGTTTGTCTTTCTTTCAAAACATTTGGGACAAAGGCAGCATTAATAAATGAAAAAGAAAAGTAGTAAGAATTATTTGTTTTGAGTTTCTTATAAGACTACTGAATAAGAGATTGGGGGAAAGGATATTGGCATTTTAACCATAGTCTTATACCAAATGTTTGTATGGCTAGGAACCAAGTAAATATCAAGTGTGCGGGAGGAAATGTAGGAACAGATCAGTGATTCCCATCTTTAATACAAGAGGATGACATAGATGTCCTCTGCAATTTGAGTTATTTTTCCTCTTGTATTGATGGATAATGTTACTTTATCCATAGTCTCTTAGTACTTAGTACCTAAAGTTTCTAATATATCATACCTTTGCCTTGAAGTTGTGCTAGAATGTTCGTTTATGTATGGATCCTGCCTCTCTCAGCCATTTTCTGTTCAAGAATTATATTCTTCTCCGTGAATTTGTTTGTATTTTATTTTGCTACAGGAGGAGTTGGATTTGTCATCTGCTTCCCAGATGTCTCCCCTTTCCTTATATGGTGAAAGCTCTCATAGTCCCTCCTCAGCAGAGGCACTGAAAGAAGATAAGCCCATCATTGGTCCTGGGAGCAAAACTGGTATGACTCCCATCTCCTAACTTCTGTTCTTTCTAAGTTGGACTGAACTTAGGTTCCATTTTTAAAAAGAAAATGTTGGATTAAGTGCATGTTTATTAAGCTGGCTTTTTGTTTTTAAAATAGAGGACCTGTCTTCCTTGGTTGTCTTGTCTTTACAGGTGAAAAATGCTTCAAAGTAGATGTAGGCCTCATCATCTTCAGGAGAGAATTCAAAGATTCAGTTAAAAATACTGAATGTGAGGGACATTTGGGTGTGACATTTATTACCTCTTAATCTTCAGGCCTTATTTAGTGATTTTTAACTCTTCTCCTTTACCAGTTCATATATCCTCTTCCCAAAGCTGCAGTGTGGTCATTCCAGTGAAAACCATCATTTTGACCATCAGTGTGGTCAGAAAGGAAGATCTCATTTGACTTCTAAAATAAGTCCTGGGGGTGTTGTGTACAGCGTTAGTAATACTGTGTTGTATATTTGAAAGTTGCTAAGAGAGTAGATCTTCTAAGTTTCATCACAAGGAAAAAAACTTGTTAACTGTGTGTGGTAGCAGATGTTAACTAGACTTCTTGTGGTAATCCTTTTGTGATACAAATATCAAATCATGTTGTACCCCTGAAATCAATATAATGTTATATGTCAATTATACCTCAAAAAAGGGGGGTAGACCTCAGATTAAGGACTTTTTTTAGTCCATTAAGTATAGATAGCTATGCTTAAACTCCAGGTAAGGATAGTTACTCAGAGGTCAAGGTAATGTGTAGAAAAAGGTGTATAATAGAACCTATTTTCTAGGGATTGCTTTCACATTGATTTGTGGTTTGTTTGGATTTTCTCCAGAAAACGGACTGACTCCAAAGAAAAAAATTCAGATGAATTCAAAACCTTCAATTCAGCCCAAGCCATTATTACTTCCAGCAGCACCCAAGACTCAGACAAATTCTGGCGTTCCAGCAAAAACCATCATTATCCAGACACTACCCACGCTTATGCCATTGGCAAAGCAGCAGCCAATTATCAGCATACATCCTGCACCCACTAAAGGTACCTGAGTGGCACTTGAGGCTGCGTATGTTTAATTGATGGGTACTAAGGCTTGCCTCATGTCATTTGTTTTAGCTCAGGTTATAATTTCTGAGCACATGCTGTGTGCCAGGAATTGTCCTCGGTTTTGAGGATATCGCAGAGATGACTAACATGTGGTTCCTGTCCTAACAAGGTAGATGGCTATCCAGATTAATTATATCTGATACTTCTTTTTTCTTACAGTTTTAATTATGAAAACACCTGTCTGTCAGGCTTGTGGTTTTATATAACCACTTGTAATGAAGAAGAAAATCCAGGAAACTTTCTCGGTACCATTCTATCCTGAGATTTTTGTGTCCATGAACTCTTGTGTTTTTTTTTTTTGTTTTTTGGTTTTTTTTCATGAACTCTTGTTTTTAAGGAGAGGTCAGTATGTAAATAACATCACGGGTCTAATAGGTGAGTTTCGGCAATAGGATCAGGCTCTTCCTCTCTGCAGAGGCAGCATGCTTTAGTAAACATGATCTTGAGTGAGGGCATTCGGAAGAGATCTCAACTCTTGTCTTCACATAGTTAAGAATGTGTGTTTCTATATTTTATCCACCAGGTGGCCTCATATACTTGATTCTGCACGAATTGTAGTATTGAAAGAACGTGTTTGAGGATTTGGTAGTGTGCAGATACAGGAATCATTTGCACATGAAGATGTCTTAGGCAGGTTATCTGTCATTCTCATACTGATACGTGTACACAGGAGTAAAGGAAAACCTGTTCAACGTTCTTTCCCTGGATTTATAAAGGACTAGGTCTCAATGGTCTATGGATTGTAAACAAATGTTTCTTTTATGGCTATGTTTCCAGCTCTAGATTGTTAATTCATTTCTTTGGATCAAGAAGATCAAGTTTTAATGAGAGCAAGGTCATAAATTTGATTTCTAGTTACTCTGTTAGTTTTGTTTTATTCCAAGGTCACGGACAATATGACATTGATAAAGAGAAGAGCTAGGTGGGAGACTGGACAATTCAGTGAAAATCCATCAAAGTCTACCAAAACCCTAGACCGGAAATACCTGCCCTTTCAGTACAGGGTCAGAACTGCTGCCTTTTTCATGTGAAAAATAGCAGTCCTATAGAAGGGGTGTTCTTGTGGTCTGTGAATGGATGTTAAGTGTTCATGAACTTGAAATAAAATGTAAGATTTATTGTATATGTGGATTTTTCTAAGGTGAGTCTCCAAAACTTTCATCAGGATCTCAACGGAGTCTATGTCTTCCCAAAAGTTAAGAATTTAAACTTGTGAAGAACCTCATTTTGGTTCCCATAAGCTCTTAAAACACAAGTATAAAAAACAAAAGCCAGACATTAATATGACTAGTGTGTGAAGCAAGGGGTATTCCTAAGAATTTGCTCTTAGCAGACCATGTTCAATTGATAGAAGACAAACCATTCTTTTCTGAGCAGTTTATCAGGTTCAGAAACCTGAATCATACATTATTCAGAGTGTCAGTGCCTGCCCATTATCTGAATATAGTATTTATGTTTGCTAATATAAGGCACTTGTGTGTTTTTATAGTACAGTCCAGAGAGTTGGTGTTGTTGTAACATACAGATTTAAGTGTATGTCTTCCATTTATTTGAAATAAAGAGGTAAAGGGGAAATATAGGAGAGGCATTTTATAATTAATCAATGTGAGTATCAATAGTAAATATTTTATCATTAAAAAAGAAGAAGTAATTTTTACAGGATTAAGTTCAAATTCTCTAGCTTGGAAGTAAAGCCCACGGTGGTTTGGCTCCAGTTTAGTTTCTAACTTTACATTATAATCACTCCTTTTTATAATCCCAACTTCCTCTTCTAGCCCAACCAGTCTGACCACTGTCCCTTGAATTCTCTCCTTTTTCCTAGTTTCTTGGCTCAGACCATTCTGTCTGCCTGAAACAACTTCTGTAACTAAGTCCTATACATCCATTAAGACTGTTAGGAGGAGTGCAGGTGAGAGATGATGAAAGCCTGGTATGTCCGTGAAAATGGGGAGCCAGGATAGAGGGTGCAGAGGTTAAAGCATGCAGAATCTCGGGCTTGGTTATTGGATGGTTTGGAAGGGGGATGAAGGATGGAGAGGGACGTATCCTACGTCTTGGGCTTGTTGAGTAGATGATAGCGTAAAATCACTGAAATGGAGGATAGAGATGACTTACCCCAGGTCATTCTGCTCCTGAGAAGTAGAGGCAGAACTGGAGCCCAGGTGGTCTGGCTCAGAGTCTGTTTAATTAGTCATGATACTAGATTGCCTCTAAAGGAATGGGGAGATGTGCTCCCTGATCTCCAGAATTCTGTCTAATTGGGGAGTTAACATATTTACATAAACAAATAACAGTGACTATGAGAACTAATGAATTAATAATATATGCAGTGCCCTTATGGAAGCTGTTATTATATAGAAATGGAAATTAATAATAATATATAAAAGCTAGCATTAAAGTTCTTACTGTGTGGTAGATAGACACTGTTGTGTTTAAGTGCATTATCTTATTTAATCGTTACATCGGCTCTGTGAAGATGGGTACTATTACTGTCTTCATTTTATAGATGAGAAAATTAAGACAGAAGAATCATTTACCCCAAGTCACACAGCTATATTATTTTAGACAAAGTAGGCATTCAATAAATGTTTGATACATAGTTTGAAATCTTTGAAGAAAATTGAAAAGGAAAAATACCTGTCACAATTGGTGAGTCATACATAGTCAGAAGTATTTAGCATTGAATCTAGCCATGTTCTGGTGGTTCCATTAAGGGAGATTTGTATGTAATGTCAAGGAGGATTTTGAGCATACTGAAATGGATAAACAGTCTTATGGTTGTCCTTTTTGACTGTCTTCACACTAGGGACAGTGGTTACTATGTTCAGCTGCTAACTACTTAAGGCCCAAAACAGTCCTTTGCATTACATTCTATGATCCATGAGCATCTAGCAGGTCATTGTTTAGCAAGTCACCGTGAGAGTTTTTCGTTTTCTTGAACATGTTGTAATAGAAGTTTCTCCCCATTCTGTCTTGAACCCAAGCATGCCTAAAATATTTAGAGGATCCTTGATTTGGATGCTAGGTAATTTGAGGATAGTTGGGCACCATGGGATGTTCATTATAGAAAACGGGAGGCAGCAGTGGCCTGGTAGGACTGGGAGCCGCATTGGGAACACAGACCCTCCCTCTGTGTTGCCCCCTCTCCTTTACTCCACGAGGCAGTTCTCTCAGCAAGGAAATGGTGATAACTAGGCAATGGACGGTACAGACTTGGGTTATTTTTCTAAATTAGTTTTAAGAAATACCACAAAGCCATTCGCATGTGTTAACTGCAGCTAGAAGTATGATCCTTTCTTTGAAATGTTTAATTCTTTACATTTACCACCTCCTCTGCTCTTTGGAATAATCCCAAAGTTCACCAAACAGTGTTTTGTTCTGGGATCTTTTTATTATAATTTTTTTTTTTATTTTAAAGATTATTTGACAGAGAGAGACACAGCGAGAGAGGGAACACAAGCAGAGGAGTGGGAGAGGGAGAAGCAGGCTTCCCGCGGAGCAGGGAGCCCGATGCGGGGCTCGATCCCAGGACCCCGGGATCATGACCTG